TGGGGGTTTTTTTTTTTCCCCGCTTGGGGCAGCAAAAATGGTAGAGTCGGCTCTGCTGTTCAGGGCTGTTTTAGGGCCACGTGGAGTGGCACAAAAGACCTTAGAATGAGCCAGAATCTGACCCTATATGGGAAGGGCTGTTTTTGTATTATATCTATATATCCATCCTACTGTGGTCCTGACCCTGCAGTTGGCTTCTGTCCCTTCCACAAATTAACTTCCCCAATGCAGAGTCAGCTGCAGAATCTGCATCTTAATCTCTTTTGCTCTCTGGTTGTTGTTTGTATTACCATAACACCTCACCACATTCCCTCACTCCACCTTTTACCCCAGGGGTCGGCAACCTTTCAGAAGTGGTGTGCCGAGTCTTCATTTAGTCACTCTAATTTAAGGTTTCGCGTGCCAGTCATACATTTTAACGTTTTTAGACGGTCTCTTTCTCTAAGTCTATAATATATAACTAAACTACTGTTGTATGTAAAGTAAATATGTTTTTAAAATGTTTAAGAAGCTTCATTTAAATTAAATTAAATTAAAATGCAGAGCCCCCCGGACTTATGTCCAGGACCCGGGCAGTGTGATTGCTACTGAAAATCAGCTCGCATGCCACCTTTGGCACCCGGGCCATAGGTTGCCTATCCCTGTTTTACCCTATACTTCTCCTGTAATGTATGTTTGTCACTGTCTTTTTCACGTCAGTTTAATTCTGTTCAGAGTTCCCCTATAGGCCTGCTGAAATCATTGTTTAAGTGATGACATTTTACTGCAAAGTTGAGATGACATTATAGCAATACTGACAACTATCTTTAAATTGAAAAGCCAGTAGTTGAAAAGGGAGAAAATTGTATGCGGAAAACGAAGTGATTTAGCACATTTTAAGATTGCTGCCATTTTTGTTGTGTGGTACTCTTAAATTTTCCAGAAATTTGTGGAAAATGGTTTTTAGCTGTAGGAATTGTGTTGTAAAGCAGTCAGGTAGCATAACAATCACCACAGGAATCAGGGGACACTGGTCCCTGTCACTTGACAGATGTAATCCTGACCCATGTCATGTGACTAGAGGGCAGGGCTGGCCCACAACATTTTGGCACCTGAGGCGGGGAGCTCAAATGATGCCCCCATACCCCCTCGCTTGGGCCAAAACTTTGAAAGGTCTCAATTCTGCCTTCCTCCTGTTCTACTCCTCTCATGGTACTGCTCTGCTACCTACCCCAATAAAGGAGAACTAACAACTTAAAATGCCTTGTTCAAAAATTTTACGTAACACTTAACTTTCAAATGCCTGAACAGCAAATGTTACTTTTCTTGTCTGCATAGTAAACACTGGCATTTTTATCTGTTTGAGTAATCAAAGTGGTGCTTTCCGTGCCTTCTTGGTTGCAAAGATTTGAACTGCTTCCTGAAGGTCCACAGTCTGGGCCAGCTCATACTCTATTGAGATGGTTGCAAGGCTGACCAGCCTCTCTTGTGTCATTGTGGAACATAGAGGTGTTTTTATTAACTTCAGCTTGGAGAAGCTGCATTCTCCACTGGCAACTGTTATAGGAAGTGTTAGAAGTATGCGCAGAGCAGCAAAAGTATTTGGAAAGAGGGTGCTCATCTTATTTGTGCACATATATCCCAGAACAGCCTTTGGAGTTGATCCTGCTGAAATGTATCACCTAAATTACTCGCATCAATATTGCGCATGTCATGTGTCAACACTGTCTCTAGTGCCCTGCATTGCTGGTGTAGGTCTTCTTCAGGTATAGTGAGGAGTTTTGGAATATCATACAACATCCCAAATATATTGCTGTGTTCCTTGAGCTGCATGAAACATTCTTCAACTGACTGTATGGCACAATCTAGCACCTGGTTCAAGAATTCAACTTTGAATTGTTGTTTGGGGTCTCTTATGGGATTATCCCGTGCCTCGTAATCAAAATGTCTTCTTCTTCGTTGACTCTTGTATTCTTGAATGGGTGGGAAAATAGCTTCAGTGTGAAGTTCCTCTGCCAACTTCTGTGCACTCTTCAGAAAGTTTCAAAATCCCTCATCTGACCAGTAAGATTGTAGGTATGACTTTGCTTTGTCCAGTTGTTCCATTGCTCCAGATATATCAAAGTCAACACCTTGGAGTCTCTTGCTTACAACATTTATTTCAAACAGTGTCATGCCACAACACTAAGCCACATAGAAATTTGAAGTTATGTATATTTCTGGTGATTCCATTTCCCTCTGCCACTGTTCTCCCACGAACAGTTCCTGTCATAGCATTATCCTCCATAATGGCAACTATGGCATCATCTATCTTCCCAATTTGGAGTTTGATAGGCTTTATCGCCTCCACTCGACTTTCCCATCGTGTGGCACTCAGTAGTTTCAGTGTCAGAGAGGATGTTCCCAGATGTTGCTTCAAAATTTGCCATCGATGAGTTGATGCAGAGAAAATACATAGATGCTTTGAATTACATTAAAAAAATTTAGCAGCCTCACTAGAAGCTGATGCTGCATCACTGACCACCAAGGTCAATGAATGAGAACTGCATGGGACAAAAAAAAGCTCGAGGGTTTAACTCTCGGATCCGTGTCTGCACTCCTCTGTTCTTTCCTCTCACATTGGCACCATTATCGTAGCCCTAATCTCTCATGTCAGCTATCGCAATTCCTGTATCTTCCAGCTTTTTAAGAAGCAGATTTGTCACACCAGCTCCTGTAGTATCATCAATGTCAATAAATTCTAGGAAAATGCTCTCTGACAGTCACCATTGTAGGGACATTTTCACTAGGTTCTATTATTGTTACAAAATGAACCATTAAAGTCATTTGTTCCGTATGGCTGATGGCAGGTGTGCAGTCCAG